ATAGGCCAATCAGCTAACCAGTATTTTCGCCCCTTCCCAAAATTACTTCAACGGAAGGTTTCCAGATGGATATGCGGAGCAAATTCATCTGGCGGAGTCAGGTTAGTGCTTTTCTGCTTTTGATGCAAATTTGTGCCCCTCAGCATCTGTAGTATGATGTGGCAAACATGGATATTTAAGCCATAGCATGGCAAACAGTATTATCCCCTGATGAGTAAATGAAAGATCCATTAGATAAAGAGGGAAGAGGTTGCTGACATGTGTTAGATAAGTCGTACAACAGGTGTATCCAATTAGCTGATTGCATACTGACAGAAAGTGAGAGCTAAAGCAGAATAAAATTAAGATAGATGTCAGAATCTAATCAGAGAATACCAGGTAAGTAGAGACAAATACAAGACAACAGAATAACAAAAAAAAAAAAAAAGAAATGCACTAACAAGGAAAAACATGTGGCGAGACAGAAACCTGTTAATTAGGGACTAAACTAATAAGGAAAAACACAGTAAAGTAAACAAAACTGTAATTAAAGACTACCGTTAAATAACAATGAGAAATTTTAAACCAACAAAAAAAAAGAAAATAAAAATCTTAAAAAAACACAAAACCGATGGATTTGAACTTTTTATGTAATGCTTTTAGCATATAAAAGTTATATTCCCTTTTTAGGCAAAAGTTAGAAGTTCCTGCTATTTCTATGCCTTTTCTTTAATTTTTCTGATGAGACAAAGCTAGCGTTCACTAAAGGAGGAGCTTTTAAAAGCCTGGTTATAAGGCTAAATTAACTCTGGCTTTCATTTATAGTTTAAATATTTCTGCATGGACTAGTGACCAGTCCAGACGTATCCTGATATACACACAGGCCCTGCCCCACTGATCCTAACAGGAAAGCAGTTATAGGTAGTTGGATATTTCCATTTTGTCATGAACAAGTCATTTTTAGTCCCTTGTAATTGACATAGAAGATATCTTTACATTTACTAGGAGAAGCTATGGTTTTATTTCAGGATAATTAGGTTGATTAGAGTTCATGCTTGGTCTGTTCACAGAAAGGGTAAATATTTAAATTGAGTCAAAATATTCATAAAGTAAATATTTTTAAGTGCAACCTCATGCAACCAGATTGTCTTTGCTAAAACTAAAGTTGGAAAAAGTTTGTCAATAATTTTATGATACATCACAAAAATCTGTGATTTTAACATGGCTGTCTGGGCTTCTTTTCTCCTCTATATATTTCTATCGCAATCCTAAGAGTGAGTTTCATCGCACAGTAGAGTGTTTACTGACATTTGAGCTGATAGCAAATAAAAATTCTCCATCTAATAGTCTATCCTGCCCTGGTTTTTTTTTTTTTTTACATGCAAGCATAGATGACACAGTGGAAACTGTATTGTTCTGAAGGTTTGACCACTACGCCCTGTATAGTCACATTAGTTTCTGTCACGCTATCCCCTGTGGCTACATTTACAACAGAGGCTTTAATTTTAGCATCTAATTTTAACATCTAATCAGTTAGATATATATTTATATATATAAAAATGTGTTAGAGTATATATTGTTCTGACTTCTAACTCTGGTACTATATGATACACCAGCAATTATTTGGTTAGAGGCACATGAGCCCTAAAATAAAAATTCAAGACCTTTTAATCAATAACCATAAGAATGTTTTTTTTCTTCAATATATTAGGTTGAACTTGAAGATAAATTTAAATTTCCTGTGGCAGCTGGGCTATCTTTTGTGTCTTTTTGTGCCTAGAATAATCCAACATCCATTATTATGTAACTCTGCAGAATACAGATATTTATAATCTCAGCATGCTGGAGTTATGACATCATCCTGCACTGCTAACCATGACAAGCGTTGGGGGAAGCATGCAAACCGTTCTGTCATGGTGGGTTACTGCTCTTAACAAACAGGAAGTATCATTGAGACGTATAATGTGACTGATAGGTGGCTTATCTGCTGTCATGTACACGGGGACAATGGGCTGTGAGAAGACTTGCACGGTGGAGAAACTCCTGAGACCTCACAGAGAAGTGGTGGAAAGCCAGAAACAAAGGTTACCCACAGCAAAGAGGAGCAGCCGGACGAGAATCACAGATAAGGTGGGAATAGACTGCTGTTTGGGAAGCTTTCAGAGGAAAGGCTTTGATTGAACTGGGTCTGTACACATCAGCTTCAGCAACAACTGATGCTTAAAACCATCATCAGGATTCTGTGACAGATGAAAACCTTCACCTATTTTTACCTAGTTAAGCTTTTTTTTTTATAGCACTACTGTTGAATATCTGCTAAACATGAATCATGCTGCGTGTTTAATGGGATATTTCCTTGTCGCTAAGATTACCCAACATGTTATTATGTAAGATGCATTTAAATAATTTCATTGTTAAACAGAGATCACAAATTGTTTTGCGTCTGGGTAGATGTTCTATGTGATTTAAATTTCTCGACATTTGGGAATCACTCGGAATAAAAAAGTAAAAAAAAATTAATAGCAAGATTGAAGTGTATAATAGGTGTTAGGATCCAATACTGGATCTAAAAAGAAAGCATGTGGGGGTGATTACAGGAAAACAGTCAAATGAAACAAACACACTACTGAAAAAAAACAATCACCAAGCATCATTAGAGTGAAAAATACATTAAATGTTTAACTGATGAAAGTTGTTTTTACTTTAATGCTGAACAGATGTACCACACTAATTTATCACAACTGTTGCTAAACCTCAGTCCTTAATGTTTGAGTATTGTTTCCCCCTCTGGGAAAATTGGTGACATCATTAAATTGAGCACACAGTCAAAGTGGTTGAAATGAACTGACACATGTTAACATTCATATATCTGTAATGCATAAATACAATTTTAGATCACATTTATGATGTGTTGATGATATGGGAGACATTTCTGGTTTCATGTTGGTAAACCTTTGCCACCAACTTTTGGCATAAACACACAGACAGAATCAGACAGCTGTTCTACAGCTGTTGTAGTACTGGTTTAGATTTGACAGTTGGGTTGGACACATGCATAGTGCTGTCTTTCCAAGTCTTCTATTTCTGGTGTTTTTCTGTTTATATCTTTGTTTCTGTCTCCTTGAACCCCAGCCAGCCTCGGCCGCTCACACCGAGCCTGGTTCTGCTGGATGTTTCTTCCCCTTAGAAGGGAGTTTTTCCTCTCCACTGTCGCTACAAGCATAATTAGTGTGAGGGATTGCTGAAGAATAAATGAGTCGATGCAATCAACTGGTTTTCCTTAGATAGAAAACTTTTAATCAGTTTGACTGTATGATCTGGTGAACTGTAAAGTGCCTTGAGATGGCATGTGTTGTATCGCTATATAAATAAAATGAATAGAATATTTTTTTTATTCACTCTAAAATGTTAATGATTATTAGGGCTGCTGCAGCTGCCTACTATTTTATTAATCAATTAATCTAACAAATATTTTTCAGGCTAATCAATCTAAAAGAAAGTACTTTAAGTAAGTTAACATTTTTATTAAATACAATTTTGAAAAAAAATAACTTATTGTGCATTTTAAATGAATTGTAAATCAGTAAAACATGTAAAAAAGATACATACATGTAATGACAGATATAAAATAAAGATTTTTAGTTTTGAATGAAAAACGTTTTATGTTTTGTTATTCATTTAGCCGTTGTTTTAGTCTGTGTTAAGTTACACTTGGTAATGGTTTGATTCAATACCAAATTAGTTGATGATTATTGTATTAATAGATTAATCTGATTAATTGTTTCTGCTCTATTGATGGTCAGTTTATTTCAGTGACTAGTTTTACAATTGTTCTGGTAGCTGCTGTCAGTATGATGATAATCAGGCTTATCGAGGAACTTTGGCCCTCTCCCTTTTTACAAAATTATTTCAGTGGTGCCATATAGAGGGGTTTTTAGGTTCATGGCCGCATTTTGATGGATTTATTGACAATTCCAGCTCTGCAGATCTTTACTCCTCCTGGTCTCCCTCTACTTTGTAAGGGACCTGCTCTGTTTCCATGGACCCCCTGACAGCTGGAGATCTGGCTAGAAGCCTGACCCCTGGCCGTCAGTGTCAGTGCTATTAACTGCTGTGGGATATAAACACATTTCAAGAATTTATGTGAAGCGGGAGAAAGTAGAAAATGCTTAAATTATTAAAGATAAAAACACAAAATACAGATAATACATGCATTAATATATATGCAAAAAAGTCTTTTTCTTTTTCATAAGTGAAATGATCCACTACATCACAGATCAGCCTGAACTTATCAGCCAAGGTGCAGCTGCTCCCTGTCTGTTCCCTGTCTGCACAGGGTTTAACCATTAGGGGATGTGAATAAATTCAGGAAGAAAAGTTTTGGCAAACAAAAATTGATTTTCAGTGTATATCTTCATGGATTAAATTAAATGAAGACCCTGCAAAATATGTGAAGTTTTAGGCTTTTAAATATATTTATGTACAATTGTGAAAGCTGAAAGACATTTTCAGGTTGCTGTTCGGATTGGCGTCCATGTACACATCCATCCGAATATTTTGGGTCAAATAATCTTCACTGTGCATATGTGCAAAATCAGCGTGGCGTTTCTCTCTTTACTAACCTTCATCCATTGGCTTCTGGTTCTTGGTGGAGGAGGTGGTACTAAATTTAATGTGCAGATAAATATGCCATCCTGCTGTCTACCCCTGTACAAAAGCAGCATTAGCATATGGTACCACTGAGACTTTAAAGGTATAGTAGAGGACAGAGCATGTGAGCGGAGTGGAAGAAATATGGTGCAGCACAGAGCGGTTTTAAATTCAAAGGCCGGAGGGAGGATTTTGCTCCAATCCAGGTCATTCCAATGCGCTCACAACATCAATTAAAAATGCTGGATTATGAAATTTGTAAAATAACAATTATTTGATATAAGTTTTTTAGATTAATAATTAAACGGGAAATGCAGGGCAACAGGAATGGAGCGAGGTGTTACATTCACAGCTCGGAAATAATTTAACAACCAGTTAAATAAGACAAAACACATGTATCGGCCACACCATTATATCAAACGCTGTGTCCCAGGGCCCTGGCATAATTACATAAAGGAAAAATGTCAGAAAATTGTCACGATTTGTTTGGAGGTTTTTGTGAGGACCCAAATGGAGAGGCTGACAGGCACTGGTGAGTTCTTTAAATATTTAATGGAAGATCAGGCAACAAAAACAGGAATCCAAAATATCCAACTTAAAAATGTTAAACAAAAACAGGTATCCAAAAATCCAACATAAAAATAAAACAAAAAAAACAGAACCATGGAGACATCAGGGGAAAACCATCACAAGGAATCAGGGTGAGACAAAGTAAGACGAGGAACCAGCACTGAGGTACTGAACAGGGAGTGTATTTATGGATGACTGAATAAAGGGCAGGACTAACGAGCTGATAAGGAGCAGGTGTGAGTTGGACTGACGAGGAAGCCAAGGGAAAAGAAAATACAAGGGGGCAATAGAGGACAAGCAATGAAAAACCTAAGAAGCTAAAATAAATCCAGAACACATCAATAAAGCTAGAAAAGAAAACATGGATAAACATGAAACCAACAGAACCAAGATCATAACAAAAATGCCTTCAATTGAGAATTGGAGTGAACGCGGAGCGATTTCGCTGCAATGTCAGGAAAATTAGGTTGAGCGCAGAGCGTCCTGGCACAACTTTGAGCGGCAGAGTGAACGAGCGAATATCCTCCTGAGAGGGGAGTGGAAATTGCACAGCGCTCCGTTCCGTTCACATGCTCTGGTGGAGGATGTTCTTTTTCTGAGTGGATCATCAAAATAAGTGGTCCTCCTAATTGTCTATCTTTATGGTGATATGTTTACGTACAGTAAGGCCGTCCTACGTGCTCGGGTGTATTCACAACAATATTACCTAAGTAAAAGTAAAAAGTGCAGAGACAATAGTTTGTTTAGGAAAACCAGCTGATTGCATCCAGTCATTGACTTCCAAGACATGCTCCTCCTGAATGTTACCACCATCCTCTGCATATAAACTGAGTTACATGCAGAGTGGCTCTTTTTACTGCAGCTATAATACCTCAGCATTAATGTAATAATTTCTTTAAATCCCTGTATTTTGAACCTTGAAACGATGAAATCTAGATAAGTGTCTGCCCTGTTACTGTGTTTATTGCAAACAAAGGTTATTTGTTACAGTCGTTCAAATAGTGTGAGAAGCTTACAGCTGTTCCATCGGCAGAGAAGAGTTTTTTCCACAAAGGAATCTGTGCCAAACCTTTGAGTGAACGTTTGCCAATTAATAGGAGGATAACTGTCTTATCCAAGTTTCCCACTGGGACAGCCAGTTTACTTTGCTTACCTGTGGGAAAATGTTTGATGGCACATTCTTGTCTAGATGATGAGTTGTTTGATTTGACACATTACAATAAAATTATCAAAACGAATTATAAGGAGAATATAGTTCTATTACTGCATGAAGAAACTACTACATAAAAAAAACCTGTATTCCAGATTATATTGAAGCTGGGCTTAAATATAATGTATTTTCAGTAACCCTTTAGATGCAAGCCCAGGTCTCAGCCCCACTCAGCTTTTAGCTAATGTGCAAAATCTTTCACTAAAGGGGATGTCAAGACAGTTTTTTTACACCTCCAGACGTGTCCAAGTCAGTTTGGCTGAGGCAGGCCGGAAGCTGCCGCTGTTCTGCCCTCTGACATCTGTTGACAGCTGTCTGCACAGGTTTAGGTCCCTTCTAACATTTGAAGGTAGCCAGGCATTCACAGAGCTACTATTTTAAGAACACATTAGAGTCACACAAGTCAAGGAGCAGCGCACTAAAACTAGTCACTACTGTCCGTCACAGAGGCACAATAAAGCATGATATGAACACTTACAGGGGTCATAGAATGTAAAACCCAGTTTACATTGTCATAGATGAATAACGACAGTTCAGTGGGTGAAATGGACGTACAGAGAAGTTCAAACCCCATCGACACCTCCTTTCTCTGCAAATCTCACAATACTAAACTTCACCATAAAACGGGCGAATCCAAACGAAGCACCGAGTTGATGTAAACTAGGTATGTTGCCTTATTTGGTTCTGGCCTGTACTTTTG